AAAATCAAAAACATCGTTCATTCTGTAATCCGATGGTGCCACCAATGATTTTGAAAATCGGTTGTTTTTCACAAATTTTCCAGCATGCCCGATAAACGAAATGGGGAGGAACCACTTAAATTGGCTGGTGCCATTGCCCTACTAACAGAGCCAAAATCGGCCGTTTATTCTCAGAACGAAAAATCGTTCGGAAATCAACCCATGTATGGCCGGCCTTAATCACAGGTGTAAATGGGTCCATAAGAGCCATGTGTTAGCATTGCCATATCATGGGAGCGTGTATGTTTTTGCCAGTTGGCCATGTACAATTATTTCTGAGCGCTCACAAACATCCTCCATATTTCTGAGTTTCATTCAGCTTAATTAAGGATAGCTTTATCACTCCCAATGTTTCCAAACCCGAAGTATTACAAAAGACTAGAAAAACTACATAACTAATGGCACATTTAAAAAACACACAGAATTCTGAATTATCCAAAGAGCAGCAAACACTAGAAAGGCTATTTACAAAAATATTAACAGACTTTTCAGGCAAATAAGGGCCATACAAACAAGAACATGGAAGAAGAGCGCTTGATTTTTAGGAAGGACAAGTATGATTGAAAACATTTGTTTCTTCATTAGATAGACTGAATTGATAGGAAGCTATAAACTAAGCACTGAAAAGTAGAAGAGTCCTGATTATTTTGTCTGCACTAACAGATATGTGTGCATGTATTCCATGGAGGTGAGTGGACACACAACAGTACGGTCTCACCCAGGCAGCCAAATTCACAGGTGTGCAGGGATGGGTGTACAAACCTGGACTCAGAGCCCTTACCCCCGGTTCACATCTATGTGGCCGTGCGGGCCGCATTTGCACGGGCACGAGACCCCACATTCATTTGAATGGACTCCCATGCCCATGACACGCAGGGAAGAAGTCTCTGCACTTCTTTGAAAAACGCAGCCCGCACAGGAACCTCGATTCCCAGTACGGTTGCGTTTTCCTGTGCGGGCAGCGTGCCATTAGAAATAATGTCACCTGCCCGCGGGTGTGCATTTCTCTATGTGGGTGCTGCGGCTGCACAAATTTTCGTGCGGATCCGCAGCGGCACCACCCGCACAGATGTGAACCTAGGGTTAGGCCTCATGCTGGCATTGCTCTCTGAAGAGCATATCTGCAATTGGTTCACTCTTCAGAGAGTATTTGAAAGGCACTGAGGAGGTGTTGTATTGGCTCCTTACTGCCTGTTTTAACCCCCTAAATGCTGAACTACTTCGCCACAAATGTGTGTGTTGTGTGCGGTTACGGGGTGGCTGCAGTGTAGTCCCGTTCACTTGGAATAGGTCGCCCGCCAAGCGCAACAGGGGTATAATTCTTGCTGCAGCTGCAAAGTAGAGAATTGCAGTCGTGGCATGTGTACATTCCTAGCCACTGCCTTTCCAGCTAAATGGAGAGTGGTAGATACACAGCTAAACTGCAAGATTTTACTGCCCTCTAATGCAGGCCATAGACGGGTCATTTATCGGCCGAATTTTCAAAAAATCGGCCGATATTCACGCCGTTAGTGGGGCAATGCCGTCGGCCATTTTTTTTCGCGGATCTTCTCGTTTCTTTTTATCAGTCATGCTGGAAAATCTATGAAAAACGGCCGTTTTTTTCGTAAGCATTGGTGGCAGCATCCATGGCAGCAACGACTGATTTTTCGTTTTTTTCGGCCGACAAACCGCCCGTCTATGGCCAGCCTTACTGCTTGTTTAAATTAGCCCTACAGTGATAAATAATGTTTGTTTAACATAACACAGGATATAAGGTTTTTAGTATATGCAGTTTGAAACATTGATGAGAATAATTATACAGTATATTACAAGTGGCCGTGACATCTACGACCTATAGTTGATTACTGCTTATAAATCACAGGAACCTTGGTGAATTTTTAAGTATAATTTTGTGTTTAGACCTGACCGCATCATGATTCTGTGCCAGGTTTTTAGATAATAATGACATCCGTAGTAATACTACTTTCCTGAATATTGTTTCCATTCAGGATGGTCAATTTTCTTGCCATTCTTTCAGACAAAATAGGCATTCGTTCTTGTGCCGTCACCACTCAGAGCCTTGTGAAATGAGCTTGGAAAATGCTTAAACATTCTACAGAAAAAAAAAAGCCGCATTTTTTCCAAATTCATAACAGGAAGTTTGGATGGCTCCAAGCAGTGGAGAATTGCATGTGATAAAAATACCTCTAATGAGACACAAATGTGCACCATCGCCTCTGATTTGCTACCAGTAAACAACATTCTTCAATTGTGTGTCTGCTGAACAGGGGGAACCAGGGACAGCAACTTCTCAAATATCTTCAGCCGAGGCTTCATTAACCCCCTTTTACCATGACGCGTTCACTGGCAGCACAACGCCATCTACATATAAGGATAACGGATGCGTTTCTCGTGCAAGAACACAGTTTGATGTACCCTTTTACTTGCTTGTCACTATGAGCAAATGTGATGCTATAAATATTTCCCAGTTAACGTGGGTGCATTTGAGTATGTATTACATGCACATGCAAATGTATACTTTCCATATACAGTGGGGATCGAAAGTTTGGGCACCCCAGCTAAATATTTGTATTAATGTGCATAAAGAAGCCAAGGAAAGATGGAAAAATCTCCAAAAGGCATCAAATTACAGATTAGACATTCTTATAATATGTCAACAAAAGTTAGATTTTATTTCCATCATTTACACTTTCAAAATAACTGAAAACAAAAAAATGTCGTCTGCAAAAGTTTGGGCACCCTGCAGAGTTAATATCTTGTTCTGCCCCCTTTGGCAAGTATCACAGCTTGTAAACGCTTTTTGTAGCCAGCCAAGAGTTTTTCAATTCTTGTTTGAGGTATCTTTGCCCATTCTTCCTTACAAAAGCCTTCCAGTTTTTTCAGATTTCTGGGCTGTCTGTCACGCACTGCTCTTTTAAGGTCTATCCATAGATTTTCAATTATGTTGAGGTCAGGAGATTGTCAAGGCCATGGCAAAACCTTCAGTTTATGCCTCTTGATGTAATCCCCCGTGGATTTTGAGGTGTGTTTAGGATCATTATCCATTTGTAGAAGCCATCCTCTCTTTAACTTCAGCTTTTTCACAGATGGCATCAAGTTACCATCCAAAATTTGCTGAAATTTTATTGAATCCATTTTTCCTTCTACTCGTGAGATGTTCCCTGTGCCACTGGCTGCAACACAACCCCAAAGCATGATTGATCCAACCCCATGCTTAACAGTTGGACAGAGGTTCTTTTCATTAAATTCTGTGCCCCTTCTTATCCAAACGTACCTTTGCTCATTCCGGCCAAAAAGTTCAATTTTAACCTCATCGGTCCACAGAACTTGTTTCCAAAATGCATCAGGCTTGTCTATATGTTCATTTGCAAAGTTCAAACAATGATTTTTGTGGTGAGGACGTAGAAGAGGTTTTCTTCTGATGACTCTTCCATGAAGACCATATTTGTACAAGTATCTCTTTTTAGTGGAATAGTGTACCACAACTCCAGTGTCTGCCAGATCTTTCTGGAGGGATCGTGCAGTCAAACGTGGGTTTTGAATTGTTTTTCTCACAATCCTGCGAGCTGTTCTGTCTGATATTTTTCTTGGTCTTCCAGATCTTGCTTTAACTTCCACTGTTCCTGATGACTGCCATTTCTTAATTACATTCCAAACAGAGGATATTGACATCTGAATACGCTTTGCTATCTTCTTATAGCCTTCTCCAGCTTTGTGAGCGTCAACTATTTTCAGTTTCAGTTTTCTAGACAACTGCTTAGAAGAACCCATGGTGCTGATTGTTGGGGCAAGGTCAGATGAGTCTGGGCATTTAAAACCTTTGAGATTGACACCACCTGGTCTTCCCAGACGATGATTGAGAACAATCCATGACGCTGGCAGGTCTCAGCTTGGCAAAGGGGGCAGTGCATGCTATAAATTCTGCAGGGTGCCCAAACTTTTGCAGACGCCATTTTTTTGTTTTCTGTTATTTTAAAAGTGTAAATGATGGAAATAAAATCTAACTTTTGTTGCCATATTATAAGAATGTCTAATCTGTAATTTGATGCCTTTTGGAGATTTTTGCATCTTTCCTTGGCTTCTTTATGCACATTAATCCAAATTTTTAGCTGGGGTGCCCAAACTTTCGATCCCCACTGTATGTAGTTATACAGCTGTGCAAGGTTCCATGTACACTGCAGCTGATAAACTCACGTTTAGGAGCTGTTCTGCATTTTTTTCAGCAGCCCCTGAACTCTCCCTAATGTTTTCCTATGTGTCCATGTACACATCATCGTTTACAGTCGTTTACAGGCAGTTGAGTTTACAATCGTTTATATGAATGCACCAAACTTGCGTTCAGGAGTAGATTTTATAAGCATTCCAAACTTTTTCAACTCTTCCATTTTCAGATGCTGTCCAGATCCCTTTTGTCAGCATGAAAAATGCAAAGCGTTTTCCCGGTACTCAAATGGACCTGGTACACCATACTTTGAGGTTTTGCATGAAAGAAAATATGTTGGACACTGCTGCAATAATTTCTGCACAGAAATGAGCTGGAACACATCCAAACACCATAAAAAAAAAACAAAACACAGCTAATCTCAACAAATACTGCTCGCTCTGCTTCTGCTCTCTCTATTTCTCTCAAAATATCTGAAATAGTTCATTTTTTACTGTTTTTCAGTGCATTCTGGCATTTTTGGAGGTTATATTTAAAAAACGCTTCTAAACGCAAACACTCATAAACGCAGTATGCAAACTCAGCTAAACAGATGTTTTTAACCTACGTTTTCCAGCAGTCAGTTTCCATCGTTCAGAAGTGTCCCGTGTACATGGAGCCTAATAGTACTTTCTGAAATGGCATATTATTGACACATTTGTTTACTTTTGCTAAATGTGATTTACTTTTGTTCTCATTTTCTGTACATGTTACTGCTGTATGTGTTTATGTTTTATACCTGTCTGATCTCTTACAGGAATGACAATACCTGAAGAGGATGCTGAAGTGGGCCAGGGGAGTAAATACTGCCTGGTTGCAATTGGCAGGCTACAGGTTAGAATTTTGTTTCTGATTGGTAGAACAGTCCATTCTCATCCTTACAAGAGGCTTTCCTGCACTGCATCAAGTGCCGATTTTAATTTCTGATGCAAATGGCGATGATTGGAGTATATATATCACCAAAGAGGAAAACCCCCAATGCATTTCAGTTCATTGAATTTATAATCTGAATCTTCTTCAGGGGGAAGAGGTGAAATGCCATAAGAAGTATTCTAGAAAATAATAAAATAATTCAATAATTATTTAGGGATAATAATAATATTTTTATTTCTCCATTATTGAAATATTTAATTATTTTCTAGAATACTGCTTATGGCATTTCACCTCTTTCCCCTTGAAGAAGATTCAAATTATAAATTCAATGAATTGAAACGCGTTGGAATATATAGTCCAATCATCACCATTTGCATCAGAAATTATGTTTTATGTATTGTGTCTATGTCTTTTCATTGATATACTATGTTCAGTAAACTTGTATTTTTTATATAAAACCTTTTTTCTTTTGTAGTTTTGGTGCTAAAAAAGTCCCTTTTTTATCTCTGTATGTTTTTCTTATAGGATAATTTACTAAAGGCAAATTGACCGTGCACTTTGCAAGTGCAGTTGCTTCAGAGCTTAGTAAATGAGAGGAAGCTCTGCTGACTTTCATCATCCAATCATGGGCAAGCAAAATGCATTTTTTTTAAATTTTCCTTGCATGTGATTTGGTATTCTTTGCAAAGTGAAACATTTACTAAGCTCTGGAGCAAATGAAGTAGCAGAGTGCATCTGCAAAGTTCACAGTCTATTTGCCTTTAGTAAATCAACCCTACTGTGTTCATTCAGAAAAGGAAGGGGCCAGTAAATGTAGCATATTTACTGGCGCCCCACACTCTGCATCCTGAAATGATCCCCCTGTGTGCTCACAGCAGCTTGTGGGAGGGAGAGGAGGAAAAGCCAGTGCAAAGGGGGGCCTGGGCAGCACAGGGAAGGGGATCATGGACAGGAAGGATGATGGGTGTAGTAGAGGGGCAATTACTGGAACCAATCCTGTGGCTTCCCCTACAACAGCTGAAAGTTGGCTGCAGGAAAAGCAGGGGAAGCCGGCTTCCGGCTGCTGTAGGGGGTGCCACAGGATAGGTTCCAGTAATTGCCCCCCTCGACTGCACCAATCACCCTCCCTGTCTACGATTCCCTTTCCCCTGCTTGTCAGCTGCCCATGACCCCGTTGAACGGATAGGTCCCGGGCTCCATACAGCAGGGATGGTGGTACCCCTTTATTGTCGACCCTAACTGTAAACATTGAACACCTATTTCCAACTGCCTCATGTCTCTGGCCTTTGTTTATATATTTTCAAACATAAATATCACTGCACATTTTCACATTATATCTATACAAAGGTTTTCTGCTTTATATTGTATATTTTATATAATCAGGCATTGTGACTGCAGTATTGAATTGTGAAGCTTGATATAAGATGCACTGAAAACAATCCAGACACAATTGCAACCAATAATTTACAAAATTCAATGCTACATTCTGTTGTACTTTTTTGTTCCCTTTGTGTTCTTTTTATTGCTCTCCAAAATGAATTAATATCATCATTATGGCTAGACAAGGAATAACAAATATAATTGTAAAACACAAATTGCCTACAGTAGTTAAATATTGAGTGTAGTTACATTGTTAATCCTGATTATTTATACTAAAATAGATTTTAGACTTATTTGCTTTCAGAAAAATCCTTGTAAAAACACAGAGCTGTTGTAGTCATCCTAAAATGACTTTGTCAGTCTTCCCATACTTTGTATTTTATATGATTTATTAGTTATTTGTTCCTGTAGCAAACCCTGGAATCTTAATTTATCTATATTGATTTTGTGAGCAGCATAAATTACCAGTGCATTAGTTTTTGTTGTTGGCAGCCCAGTGCTGGTTATGTTTGTTAGGCTTCTGGTCCTGAGAACAAATAAAAACAAACAGCTCCCCTAAAGTGAAAAAATCATGCCTGTCTTTCCTATCGGTCACTAATTCCTTGTTTAAAGGACGTATTTGGCACAATAACTTCATTTATACAACTTTAGCTTATAATGTCAATGCTGAACGCTGGTCATAAAACATTGCTTCCCATGGTATACAATAGTTCACTAGTCATTAAAGAGACCCTGCCTGCCACCAAAGTTTCAGGTGAAAGCACAAAAAAATTAAAGCAGTACTAAACCCAAAAGCGAACATTTAATATATTGCAGTTTACCAATTCTTACAATGTGATGGCTGCATTCGTTTTCTTTATAGGCTTTCTTTCCTATATTGCACCTGGTGATCCAGCCACTAAGTCTGTTGTATTTCAACAGAACAAGCTCTCTTGCAAATGTATCAGTTAAGAGTGTTGAGATACATCATTTACCACTGAGTGCTTACAATGCCCAGCTTTTATTTATTCATGTAAAACCTTTATCAAAAAAGAAAAAACATTGTCTTCAATCTGTTAGTGTGTCTAAATCTGCTTGTATATCTAACACTTCTCTCCCCCAAGACTGCTGCTGTCTGCTGTGCCCCTGTGCACCTTCATCCAGAGTGGAGTCACTCTAGTACAGAAGGTGTGTTACTGGCCAGATCACCAGGTGAAAGCCTAACAGAAAAAAAAAATTAATGCAGCTACCACATCTAATTATTGGTAAGCTGCAACATATTATATGTTTGGTTTTGGGTTTAATACCGCTTAAAGATTTTAAATTCTTTCATTTAAGTAATGGGACTCACACCGAAGGCGTTCAACTCCAGCCAAAGTTTACTGCAATGGCAGCACACAGCTCACTCCCACCCAAAGCCATGTTACCAACAAATTTCACCCACCATGATCGCCTTGATTAAGCCCTTCTGTGGGTGAAACATGGTTGGGGCATGACTTTCGGTGGGAGTGAGTGGTGAGCTGTCATTGCAGTAAACCTTGGCTGGAGTTGAATGCCTTTGGTGTTGGGTCCGTTATTTGGATGGTGGACTACAATGGAGTAAGAGTGGCGTTAAGGCACTTGGCAGCTGGCTGATTGCAAGGTATCATGTAGGATACAGGCTGGTGTATGAGCGGTGAAAGAGGTTGAGTTTGCCTAACAAATTACACATTATTACAATGTATTCCTTTACATTAATTACTTTTTTTATTCACTTATAATTTGCATCTAAATTACTGGCAAATCTAAATAATCAAGGAAGAATAGTACATCCCTCTTCCTTCTGTTTTATGAATGATTAATTATTCTCTGTGCTGGCCCGGCTACCCTCCTCACTTCCTGACCTATAGAGTGTCAGTTGAGTACCACCTCTGAGGCTGCTGACATCACATCCAAGATGGCAGCAATCTAAGGGCTTTTGGATGACTACGCAAGGTAGGCTTTTTACAGGTAAATAATATCCTCAAAATCAAATGCACGTCTAATCTTATTGAAAGATTGTTGAAATGATTGATCTGATGACAGTGTCTCTTCAAAATCCTGGCTCCAGGTCTCCATGGTTCTTTCAGTAGGTTCACCTACCCTGAATATTAAAGACGTTATAGTTTCACTCTGAAGCTATGTAATCTGCCCCTTCATTTCTTATAGCCAGACCATAATCCAAGTTAAAGTTTACCATATTATTACACAGCACAATATAAATAAAGGGATGAAGTATATTGCTGTCTTTTACAGGTCACCAGTTCCCCAGGGAGCCTAGATATGAATGGAATGTCTCTTCCTACCGAGTTCTTATCACGACACAGTACAGAGGGGATCATCACATTTGTGGACCCTCGCTGCATCAGTGTGATTGGGTATCAGCCACAGGTTGGTGGTCTGTGATATTTCTGAGGCTAAAAAAAGCACATCTGTTTTGTTATGGATTGTCTTGCATTTGGCCTTAGTTTACTGCTCTTAGTTCATCTATTTACTGTCTGATGGTCTGTACCTTTGATCATTCCTTGTTTGTTTTTATGGCTTTGACTTGCTTATTGCAGCATATAATAGGTCTATATTGCTTTCATACTTTTATGAATGTTAAAACTGCAGACACTCTTACATTGTTCTTGAAGAATCCTAAGTGTTTTTTTTTCTAGGATCTCCTGGGAAAGGACATAATTGAATTCTGCCACCCTGAAGACCAGAGTCATCTTCGAGAGAGCTTTCAGCAGGTAGCTAGCAGTGACAGAGAAGAGAAAGTATGTGCTCAATGTATAATCACCTTCAACCTTTATTGTAAAGCTTGTTTTACAATTAACTTCCTTTGGCGTCATCAAATGACTGACAGTTTGGGATATTTATAAGTCACCATATAATAAACTGCACTTATAATTTTTTTTTAATCCCTAAGAGTTTTTATTAGTATTGAAATGGGCAAAAAGCAACAACATCAAAGCACCTATTTTTGTAAATTTTCAGTCAAATTAATTATTAAGACAAGGTCTCTGCAATATGCAGTAGCATACACAGAAGGAATCTATTACACAGACAATTGGCTAGTTATTAAATTTCTGAAGACACGTGAAATGAGAGACCTAACTACAGACTTCGCAGGAATGAGCACATAATAACTTACAGTATAATGAGAGTATAATGGTTGACAAACTATGAAAACCTAAAACAAAAGTGTTGTGTGCTGTCTCAAATATAGGAATATTTGGAACTTAGTAGTTCCCATAGGCTTAAAGTGATTGTAAAGTTTCTTTATATTTATATACAGTGGATATAAAAAGTCTACACACCCCTGTTAAAATGTCAGGTTTCTGTGATGTAAAAAAATGAGACAATTATAAATAATTTCAGAACTTTTTCCACCTTTAATGTAACCTATAAACTGTACAACTCAGTTGAACAACAAAAGGAAATCTTTTAGGTGGAGGGAAGTAAACATAAAAAACTAAAATAATATGGTTTCATAAGTGTGCACACCCTTACACTAATCCTTTGTTGAAGCGCCTTTTGATTTTATTACAGCACTCAGTCTTTTTGGGTATGAGTCTATCAGCATGGCACATCTTGACTTGGCAATATTTTCCCACTCTTCCTTGCAAAAACACTCCACATCTGTCAGATTGCGAGGGCTTCTCCTGTGCACAGCCCTCTTCAGATCACCCCACAGTTTTTTGATCTGATTCAGGTCTGGGCTCTGGCTGGGCCATTCCAAATCTTTAATCTTCTGGTGAAGCCATTGCTTTGTTGACTTGGATGTATGCTTTTGGTCATTGTTATGCTGAAAGATAAAGTTCCTCTTCACGTTCAGCTATCTAGCAGAAGCCTGAAGGTTTTGTGCCAATATTGACTTGTATTTGGAACTGGTCATAATTCCCTCTACCTTGAGAAAGGCCCCAGTTCTAGCTGAAGAAAAACAGCCCCAAAGTATGATGCTGCCACCACCATGCTTCACTGTCGGTATGGTGTTCTTTTGGTGATGTGCAGTGTTGTTTTTGCGCCAAACATATCTTTTGGAATTATGGCCAAAAAATTCAACCTTGGTTTTCTCAGACCATAACACATTCCAACATGCTTTTGGGAGACTTCAGATGTTTTATGCAAAATTTAGCCGGGCTTGGATGTTTTTCTTCATAAGAAAAGGCTTCCATCTTGCCATTCTACCCGATAGCCCAGACATATGAAGAATACGGGAGATTGTTGTCACATGTACCACACAGCCAGTACTTGTCATATATTCCTGCAGCTCCTTTAATGTTACTGTAGGCCTCTTGCAGCCTCCCAGACCATTTTTTTTCTCGTCTTTTTCATCAAATTTGGAGGGTCATCCAGTTCTTGGTAATGTCACTGTTGCACCATATTTTCTCCACTTGATAATGACTGTCTGTGTTCCATGGTATATCTAATGCCTTGGAAATTCTTTTGTACCCTTCTCCTGACTGATATCTTTTAATGAGATCCCTCTGATGCTTTGGAAGCTCTCTGCGGACCATGGCTTTTGCTGTAGGATGCAACTAAGAAAATGTCAGGAAAGACCTACTAGAACAGCGGAAATTTATTTGGGGTTAATCAGAGGCACTTTTAATGATGGCAGGTGTGTACTGACTCCTATTTAACTACTTCTCGAAAGCCCTAGAGCAAAACTACTGCTACAGGGTGGCAGGGCTGTGCAAAATCACATATATATATATGTGATTTTGTATTTCCGGGTAGGAAGCACGTGCGCCCTACCCACGCCGCAATTGGCGACTTCAGCTGTCAATCACCGGGTCCCGACCGGTGATTCCCTGCTGGCACCTGGCGATCGCCGAATATCACTGACAGGGGAGAGGTCTGTATGTAAACAATACAGATCTCTCCCCTGTTAGCTCCAGCACTCTGCTTTGTATGGCTCTGCATAGCTGAGCCATACAGACCAGCATGCTTACATAGTAAAGCACAGCACACAGCACATAGTAAAACACACACAGCACACAGTTAACCCTTTGATCTCCCCAGATGTTAATCCCTTCCTGCCCAGTGTCATTAGTACAGTGTCAGTGCTTTTTATTAGCATCACTGGGGATGTCAGTGACAGAAAAACCAATTTCCCCCAGTGTCAGAATGCCTGCCGCAGTCCAGCTATAAGTCGCTGATCGCCGACATTACTAGCATAAAACAAAACTCCAGTATATATACTGCCATTTTTAGACACTATAACTTTCAAGTAAACCAATTAATTTACCGTATTTTCCGGCGTATAAGACGACATTTTAACCCCTGGAAATCGTCTACAAAGTCGGGGGGTCGTCTTATACGCCGGGTGCTGTGCTGAAACCTTACCGTACTTCCGGGTTGAAACTGCGCATGTCTTCGGCAGCAGTAGACGATCGCGGATCACCGTAGCTCGCAGAACTGCATGAGACGTCGGATGCAGCAGTGCTCGATTGAGCTTGACTGAAACTGTGATATGCAGAGAAGGGATACACAGTGATTCTGCGCATGTCACAGTTTCAGTCACGATCAATCGAGCACTTTCCGACGTCTCATGCAGTTCTGCGAGGAACCAATCAGTGATCGTCTACTGCTGCCCTAGACATGTGCAGAAGTGTCAGCTCGGAAGTACCGGTATGGTACTGCTGCATCCGACCTTGTCCCCTTAACTGCTATGAGATACGGTAATTAATTATTAATATTATAATGTCTGTGGCAGTTCGTGCAATTTATGGTATCTTGGAGACAGGCAGGGCTGGGCAGGCAGGGAGAGCTGACCCACCCAATCCAAGCAGGCTTTGTATGCAGTGTGCACAGTGTGCACAGAAAATACTGGTACATTGCTTGCCGTGATTGGTTGGAAGAGGGGGGTAGTCTTATACGGCGAGTATAGCCCAAACCCCCATATTTTAACAGGAAAAGTAGGGGGGTCGTCTTATACGCCCAGTCGTCTTATACGCCGGAAAATACGGTACATGTATTCAGAATTTTTTAGCATGTAGCAGAATAAATTTTGGTCTAAATTTATGACGAAATTTGATTTTTAAAAAATTTTTTACTGGACATGTTTAATACCAAAAATTCAAAAATATATTTTTTTTCTAAAAATTGTCAGGCAAAAAATAAAAACACACAGGGGATCAAATACCACCGAAAGAAAGCTCCATTTATGGGAAAAAAGTACATAAATTTCATTTTGGTGCAGCGTTGCATGACGGCGCAATTGTCAATTAAAGTAACAGGTGCCGTATCACAAAAAATGGCCTGGTCAGGAAGGTAAATCCTCTGGAGGGAAAGTGGTTAACATGATTTTGAATGTGATTGCTTAATTCTGAACACAGCTACATCCCCAGTTATATTAGGGTGTTCTCACTTATGCAACCACATCATTTTAGTTTTTCATGTTTACCCCCCCCCCCCCCCCCCCAAAAGATTTCAGCTTGTTTTTCAATGGAGTTGTACAGTTTATAGGGCACATTTACACCCTGGTCAGACCAATCCCAACTTTGAAATAGTGCGACTTACAGTGAAGTCGCATGATTTCAAAGTCTGGTGAGATGCCGAATTCAGGTGCAATTTGCAAAACATCTAACACAGATGTCTATGCAAATTGCACCAAAAGTAGTGCATGTACTACTTTAGAAATTGGTGCAGTTCCGACCAAGTCGGAAACGCACTGATATGACCGCTGTAGTTGCGGACAATAGGGTGCGACTTGGCATGCAAATCGCATGCAGTGTGACCGGGAACTAAAGGTGGAAAAAGTTTTGAAATTACTTATCTTTGTCTCATTTTTTTACATCACGAAAACTGAAACCAGGGGAGTGTAGACTTTTTATATAATATATATATATGTATATATTCTAATATGTTAGAAGATTCTGCTGACCACATACCTCAAGTTTTATTAAATTTTTTCAGACAACCTCTGTAGTCATAGATCAGGTTCTTATATGGGAGCATTATATTAAATGAGAAATAAAAGAACATTTTTTTTTGCATTTTGGATACAGTAAGAGACGGTTATAACCCCTGTCAGTTTTTTTCTGCAATCTTTGTTTCATTGGGGAGATTTCCCTTCATTTTCTGTCCCATAGCCAAAATAGGATGTGAAAGAAGATCTCTCAAAAGTGAGGTTATCACCAGGGCCAGAATTAATTTCCCCATTGGAAAATGTCCCTTCTGTTTCTGTTCTGGGGACAACCCAAGATTTAGAATTTTCTTTTTCTTTCAGTTTCAATGATAATGGTCACCTAGACAAATACAGAGGGTGACTTAAAAGGTGGTGGGAGCCAAGGCCCTGCTTTCAGCTCTTGCTACACTGTAGTTCACCATCCAATGGCGTTCAAATCCAGCCAATGTTTATTCAATTGACAGGAAACTCACTGCCACCCAAATCCATTCCCCCAACATGTTTCACCCACAGCAGAGCTTAATCCTGAGGATCATGATGATTAAGCCCTGCTGTAGGTGAAACATATGGGGGTCATGGCTTTGAGTGGGAGTAAGCTGTGTGCTGCAGTTGCAGTAAACCTTTGCTGGAGTTGAACATCTTTGGTGTGGGTCCCATTATTTGGATGGAATTGTTAAAATACTTAAATTGGCTGTGCTTTTACCTAAAACTTTAGTGGCAGTTGTGTCTCTTTAATGGCTAATGAACTACAACCCCAATTCCAAAAAAGTTGGGATGTTGTGTAAAATCTACATAAAACAGAATGTAATGATGTGCAAATCTCATAAACACATATTTTATCCACAATAGAAAACATATCAAATGTTTAAACTGAGAAAATGTACCATTTTAAATAACAAAAAAAGGTAGTTTTGAGATTGATGGCAGCAGCACATCTCAAAATTGTTGGGACAAGGCAACAAAAAGTTGGCAAAGTAAGTGGTACTAACAAGGAAGAGCTGGAAGAACATTTTGCAATTAATTAGGTTAATTGAGAACAGGTCAGAAATATGATTGGGTATTAAAAAAAAGCATCTTAGAGAGTCTCAGGAGTAAAGATGGGCAGAGGTTCACCAATCTGTGAAAAGTTACTTCTATTTCAATTTCAGAAACAATTTCAGAGCAATGTTCCTCAACACAAAATTGCAAATACTTTAAATAAATCATCATCTACAGTACATAATATTATCAAAAAATTCTGAGAATCTGGAGAAATTTCTGTGCACAAAGGACAAGGCCAAATTGCAGTATTAGATGCCTGTGATCTTTGGGACTTCAGATGGCACTGCATTACAAACAAGCAAGATTCTGTGATGGACATCACTGCATGGGCTCAGGAGTACTTCCAAAAATCACTTTGTGAACTCAGTTCGCCGTGCCATCCAAAAATGCAAGTTAAAAGTCTATCATGCAAAGAAGAAGCCATATCTGAACATGATCCAGAAACATTGCTGTCTTCTCTGGGCCAAAGCTCATTTAAAATGGTCTGTTGCAAAGTGAAAAAACATTCTGTGGCCAGGCAAATTGAAATTTGACATTCTTTTTGGCAACCATGGGCACCACATCCTCTGGACTAAAGAGAAAAGGGACCTTCTGGCTTGTTATCAGCACTCAGTTCAAAAGCCTTAATCTTTGATGGTATGGGGGTGCATTAGTACATATGGAATGGGCAGCTTTCAGATATGGAAATGCACCATCAATGCTGCAAGATATACCCAAGATTTAGAGCACCATATGCTCCCATCCAGACGTCTTTTCAGGGAAGGCCTTGCATATATCAGCAGGACAATGCTAAAATGCATACTGCATCTTTGACAGTAGATGCAGAGGACCCTGTGTGCTTAACTGGTTTGCCTGCAGTCCAGACCTTTCACCACTTTAAAATATGTGGCTCATCTTGAAACTAAAAATTTGGCAAAGAAGACTCAGGACTGTTCAGCAGTCAGAATCCTATATCAGACAAGAATAGGACAACATTACTCTCCTAAAACACCAGTAGGTGGTCTCCTGAGTTTCCAGACATTTACAGAGCATTGTTAAAAGAGGGGATGCTACACCAAGGTAAACATGGCTGACCCAACTTTTTTTTTTGAGACGTGTTGCTGCCATCTGTCTAAAAATTACATAAATGTTTTTCCCTAAAATGGTACATTTTCTCACTTTAAACATTTGATATGTTTTCTATTTTCTATTGTAAATAAAATATGAGTTTATGAAATTTGAAATTTGTTTTTTATGTAGATTTTACTTATTTGGAATTGGAGTCTTATAGTAAGAGGTATGCTGTGTGTAACAATGTATATGTTGGGGGGGGGGGGGGGGGGGGTTCAGACAGCAATTAAAACCTTTCAGGGTTTCTAATCCCTCACCACTTTATCCAAATCTAAACAAAAAAAGAAAGTTTGCCTTTAGTTATACTTTAATCTCCACTCTCCATTGCTGCAAGGTAGGCAACCCAGTTTAGGTCCATCAGCTACGGTACTTGCCAGCTAGCTGTCACTTTTTAAATTCAGAACTAATGAGGCTATCACGACCTGTGACTCTTTCTGTGTAGGAAGTCACTGTTGGTAAATAAGTGTCTGTTCCCTGCAGATTGGAATATGGCTATAAAATGGAATTCACACATCTGATGATATCTTGAAGGCGAAGATTAGAATGAAATAGGATTCTGTACCAGACAGGTCAATAGCACAAAAGAAAATGCTAGAACTTGGTACTCTGGGAAGCAGCATTTCAATAAGTGGATTGCTTCCTAAGTAATACCGATACAGAGGTACCTTACTTGTCTGAATAACCAATGGTTGCGTGTTTGAGTGGAGTGGTATTGTATTGAGTATTCAGTTATATTGTGGAATTATAGTGGTATCAGTTTCTGTTACCAGCCAATTCTTCAGTTTGAGTTCAAGTGAATTTAGGTCCTCAACATTTCATTTTCCCTTTAGGTAGTAAAGCTGAAAGGACAAGTACTGTCGGTGATGTATCGCTTCCACACAAAGACCCGAGACTGGCTGTTACTTCGCACCAGCAGCTTCACTTTCCAGAACCCATATTCTGATGAAATTGAATACATTATCTGTACAAATACCAATGTGAAGTAAGTATACAAGTAGACAAGGTAGGGCTAGTTTGAAGAACTCAAGGATTGTCCATGTAAGCCAATCTCAACTTTCATCAGTCTTCTTTTGTGTTAATAAGTAAAACATATCTGAACAACTTCTCACAATCCTAAACAAAGACAAGTGTTGACAGAGAGGCAGCCATAGTTATGTTCATAGCAGCGTCCAGGTTCTGAAAGATAGTTAAAGTGCAGCCATAATCAATGGTCAGTTTTTATACATGTCAGCATACTGTATGTACCCTATAGTAGCCACCCTTTCCACCTTTAGTAGTAATCAGTTAAAACACATTTAACATATTGTTATTTTGTAAATCAAAATCAATGCAATTTTTGTAATCCCTTAATGGTTAGGTTTACTTTTAGAAAAAACTGTTTGTACATTGTATGCTGCAGTAGCAACCTCAGAGCCTGTAAGCATCATAATGCTTGCATTGGTGAATGGTCATTGGTCAGTGTGACCGCATGAATGCACTGAGGAATGGGAATCTCTGAACTTTCTTCTAAATGTACCCTTTAACCTTACCCTTTACAGCAGCAATGGACAAACTACGGCCCGCGGGCCGTATACGGCCCGGCGGACCTTTTAATCCGGCCCGCGGAGCTAGGCTCCCACTAGGCTCCTCTCACAGTCTGCCCTGAAGACCGGTGTAGCATGAAAATCTGTCTCCTATGAGAATCTGTCCCCCTCGACGTATCTGCGCATGTGCCGGAGATCGCTGATCGGCTGCTAATGCCTGAAACTGGCACATGCACAGATACGTCGAGGGGGACAGATCCTCATAGGAGACAGATTTTCATGCTACACCGGAACGGCGCGGGAAGACGGCGAGAGGAACGCGCGGAGCAAAGGTAAGTGAATTGACACAGGGGGGACTTGGGGACTTAATATGGGGGATGAATTACTATAGGGGGGATGAATTACTATGGGGGATTAATTACTATATGGGGGATGAATTACTATGGGGGATGAATTACTATATGGGGGATGAATTACTATGGGGGATGAATTACTATATGGGGGATGAATTACTATATGGGGGATGAATTACTATGGGGGATGAATTACTATATGGGGGATGAATTGAATTGAATTATATGGGGGATGAATTACTATGGGGGATGAATTACTATAGGGGGGATGAATTACTATAGGGGGGATGAATTACTATGGGGGATGAATTACTATGGGGGATGAATTACTATATGGGGGATGAATTACTATGGGGGATGAATTACTATGGGGGATGAATTACTATATGGGGGATGAATTACTATGGGGGATGAATTACTATGGGGGATGAATTACTATATGAATTACTATATGGGGGATGAATTACTATAGGGGGGATGAATTACTATATGGGGGATGAATTACTATGGGGGATGAATTACTATATGGGGGATGAATTACTATGGGGGATGAATTACTATATGGGGGATGAATTACTATGGGGGATGAATTACTATATGGGGGATGAATTACTATGGGGGATGAATTACTATATGGGGATGAATTATGGGGGATGAATTACTATATGGGGGATGAATTACTATGGGGGATGAATTACTATATGGGGCATTGAAATTACTATGCTTACTATGGGGGAATATTACTATACTTACTATGGATGACACATACACATCATTCATCTACTCTTGGTCCGGCCCTCGGGTCCAATATATGAACCCATTGCGGCCCTCAAGTCAAAAAGTTTGCCCACCCCTGCTTTAGAGGCTGCCATTGCTGAAGCGTTCTTTTGAAAATTGTAGTAGCTTGGCTGTTCTGCTCATTCTCTGGCTTCAGCACTTTATGAGCCACTGCCCCAGAACAAATATTCCAGTCAGGATTTCTGAATTCTGCTGCTGCATACACATTCATGTCAGGGGCAGCTCATATTCTGAGAAGGGACTTTCTTGGCATCAGTTCTTTCTTAGACACTGGCCTCAAACAAATATAGGCATTTTGACTTTTCCCTGACTTGCATGCTTGTTTTGAGTCTCTGAGTCAGAAGTACAGAAGCAGGGAACAACTGTGCAGCTAGCATTTACAGAAGAGGGTCAACAATGGCAGCCTCTGCAATTCTTTCATAGCAGGTGTACTCTAAAGCTAAACACCAGGCGGTTCAGGCAGTATACAAAACCATCAATTAATGCAGTAAAACCATCAATTAATGTAGTTACATATTCGGGAAAAATTAGTAAATGTATTTTTAAATGTAGCTAGTGTAAGTACCTGAACCTGTCTTGAGTTTAGACTTCTGTGTTCCCTGCACTTCAGAAATCAGATTGCAATGTCAGCATTCTAAACCCATCACTGGTAAATTGTCAGTATTCTGCTGCTCCTCCAGCATTTAGTCAGTGGGCTAGGGTGTGCGTTTGGCCAAGCTGTGCTGTGTAGGGTGAGAATCTGGCTGCTTGGTCTGACAGTGGCTTGCCTGGATCACAAGACTTGCCAAACAAGATAAATCTTAGAGTAAGAAAAATACAACCCCAACTCCAAAAAAAAGTTGGGACACTGTGTGTTGATTTTCAAATCTCAAAAACCCATATTTTATTCACAATAGAAAATAGAAAGCACTGATGGTTCCTTTCCAGATGTCCAAGCTGCCCATTTCATACGCACTAATGCACCCCCATACCATCAGAGATGAAGGCTTTTGAACTGAGTGCTGATAACAAGCTGGAGGACACAGCGCCCATGGTTGCCACAATGTCAGATTTGGATTTGTCTGACCACAGAACAGTTTTCCACTTTGCAGTAGACCATTTTAAATTAGCTTTGGCCTAGAGAAGGTGGCTGAGTTTCTGGACCATGTTCAGATATGGCTTCTTCTTTGCATGATAGAGCTTGAACTTGCATTTTTGGATGGCATGGTAAACTGAGTTCACAGACAGTGATTCCTGAGCAGAACATGCAGTGATGTCCATCAAAGAATCACAGAATCTGACATTCCTTGTTAATACCACTTACTTTGCCAGCTGTTTGTTGCCCTGTACTAGTTTTTTTTTAGATGTGTTGCTGCCATCAATTTCAAGATTACCTTCGTTTTTTTCTTAAAATTGTACTATGGGTTTATGAGATTTGCAAATCATTGCATTCTGTTTTTATGTAGATTTTACACAGCGTCCCAACTTTTTTGGAATTGGGGTTGTAGTTTCAATGCTGGCTTTATTAAGCAACTTACATGGAGTTCATCTTTCTACTCTGGGGTAGCCATCACATAATGAGGTTGTTTGCAGATACGATATGGAGTCATCCTTCACCTTCCTGCTGCTCCCCTTTCTGACTGCATGAGCTGCAGCATGAATCCGACTCATATTGTCCAATCTGAATCTTTGGGGCTTCTGTTTCTATACAGCTGAGGGGGTAACTGAACAACCCAGTCTTGTATTCAGCTTTCTCCTATCTCACACAAATCTAATTTTTTTTATTTTTGCAGTAAAAATTTTCTGTGCCTGTTTTGTAATTTTGCCAGTGTAAATTTCTTCTACTAAAATATTTTCATCATAGTTTTTGTCGCTACATGTTTTCAGTTCCGAAAACTAAAAGAACATAAAATTCAGTTTCAATTCAGATGACTAAAATATGACTAAAACTAAAATTGCATTTTAGGCAAAAGACTATGACTAAAACTAAATCCAAATTTGACTTAAAAATGAACAGTGGTCAAAAAGACATATTCTTGTTTGTTTCCGAAACTTGTTTTTATTTATAAAGATGTTACTTGATACTTGTTTTCATTATTACCAGAGAGCTGGTAAAGTTTTTATAGTCAGGTAATGTGTGAAATGGAATTTACAGTTTTTCCTTTTTTTATATTTTAAAGTTGCACTTCTGTTTGTCAAAAAGTAATATTTGTGTTTGTTTATTATACTGGAGATTTTGGTCGGCTAAAAATGTACTATAGATTTTAGTAGACTAAAATACGACTAAAACTAAAACAATTCAGATGACATAAATACAACTAAAATGGCATTTTTGTCAGGGGACTGGCTAAAACTAATCTGAAATTTGATGGCAAAATTAACAGTGAATTTTACAACTTTTCGATTAACTGGAGATTAATTACCATGGCCTGATGAATAGATGAAAGTCTCCTAGATTGCAAGCTCCAAGGAGCAGGGCCCTCAAACCCCTTGTGTATCGCATTGTATTGTTACTGTACTGTCTCCCAGTATAATGTACAGCGCTGAGAAAACTATTGGCACTATATAAATACTGTATAATAATAATAATTAGTGGTATAAAATTGATTTTATATGTATAGTTACCAATAGAACTGCATTGTTTCCTAATGCCAGAATCAGGCAGTCAGAGAAGAAACTGCTGTTTATTTCTTCATTTTAATAAAGTATGTGTACATTTCTAGCCTACAGTATTTCTGCAGCTGTTTCTGTGTCTTTAGGCAGGTCCAGCAGCAGCAGGCAGAGCTGGAGGTTCATCCAAGGGACAGCTTGTCCTCCTATGACCTGTCACAGGTGGGTATCTGGGATACGTATTCCTCCCTTCCTGGCATCCGGCTGTGCACTCAGCTGGTATTCATTGTGTCATTACAGGTGCCTGTACCAAACCTTGCAGGGAATGTTCATGAAGGAGGCAAGTCTGTGGTTGAAAAGAACGATCCTCTCTTTTCTCAGGACCGAGACCCAAGGTTTGCTGAGATGTTTGCTGGAATCACAGCCTGTAAGTTTACATTACTCCTCACCTGCATCCCAATATAAGCGGATAACTCCACTCTGTGAGCTGTAAAGCTGGCTATACACATGTAGATTTAAAAGTAACAGATTCTTCTATCAACACTAAACAGACAAATGCCTCTCTGCAGCCATTCTATTATCACAGCTGACCCCACCGGGTATTAAGATACCCAAACAGTGCTCTGATTGCCTGCAGGTACTGTTCAGACATCAGTTTTCTGCCTGACTCTTGATTTATCAGTCAAATGATGGTGAGTGGGAAGGTGCTGGCAAGGCCACCCGCTAGTCGAATTTTGTCTGCTTCTTCAGGAACCAGCTGCAGTTTGATCAATGTATGGCCAGCTTTAAAATATTTAGATTTTTGTCTGGTTCACCAGGAACCTCTCATAGTTCAGTCAATGTATGGTCAGCTTTAATATATTTTATATTACTCCGATCACAACACCTCCTTACCTCAAAAACAATCATTTTCTCAGTCTTGATCTTAATACAATTAGTCTGCTTACTTTCAACAGTTAATAGCATCTTAAAAGGGATTATGTGATCTCATATACCTATCAGGTTCAGATCAGGACAGGTTAGAGAATAGAATTGCATTGATAGGCCCCAGGGATCCCAGGGATGTGTGTTTTCAATAAGCATTTAGGTATGTTTGTAAATGCTAGGCCGGGGTCACAGGCAAAGTCTTCACTGAGAAGGAATGTAACGTTAACATATCCAAGGTGCCTTCTTCTAGCCTGCCTGTCGCCATCAGCACATAGTTATAGGGGTAACCAGGGCCTGCGTCTCTTGTAGAATTAATCTCAGCGTCTGCAGGAGATCCAAGGTCATGTAAAATATTTATATGCCATTTGTGAGGTTAAATGGATGGTTAATGTGGATTTTTTTTCACGACTTTGGAGAAAGGGAGTGGATTTATCATACTGGAATTTTTGTGTGTTTGGGATTGTCTCTGTATGTTATGCTTAAACGTCTAGCATGATTATGATCTGTTTCAGCCTGGTGTAGCAGCATTGCTGATGCGTGATGAATGAGCAGTGTAATTATTTCTGAACCTATGCCATATTTCAACTTGGTTTTCATTTCTTTTTTCTTTAAGCGGAGAAGAAAATGTTGTCAGCATCGGGCAGCGGCACGCAGCAGTTGTATTCAACAGGCAGTCCTTTCCAGCCTGGGCACTCTGGCAAGTCTTTTAGGTATCAGGAACTCTTCTGTCCTCAGTGGAGCACACAGATAATATTACTATATGATATGATACAGTATATGCCATTACATTTTATCCATATCCCAGTTTTCTGGCTCTGCTATGTACCAACATCCCAAAGTTATAGAAAAAATAAACAAAATATGGTGAACGTTACGGGTACTAGGGAACACATCAAGTTTTTCTAAAAAGATATGTTTATTACAATAGTTTAAAAGAAAAAACAATTATCAAAATTGACACTAGTCATTAAATTCAATATGTGGTCATCACTCATCTATACAAAACAATATTCCTCCTAGAGATGACGTTCTTCAATTCCAATACTCCAAAAGAGGTCAACGCGTTTTGCATATGTGCTTCCTCACGACCTTCATTCAGAGTTTATAGAAGTATAAATCCTTCCTCATAGTGTCACCTCTATTCAAGATGCGGAAATGGAGGACAGCAGCAGACCGGTAAGTTATAACAAGTATTGTTGGGCCTTGAATATCTCTTCTCAGCTTAACATCCAAAAGTGATAATAATCTATTGGATATGGCTGGACACTCAGATGTTCATATTTAACTTAATATCCCTGGGAACCAAGACAAGACAAGACATCTAAAGGAACCTGTCATGCTCAGTTCCCATCCAAAGAGTGTCCACCATTCTCACCTGGTGGACACTCTTTGGATGGGAACCTAGCATGACTGGTTGATGGAAACAGCACTAATATACTCACCATGCTTGCATGGGATGTGGAGAGATCAGGCAAAGTGAGGACTATATATATATTTATTTATTAAATCTTTGAGGTCCTTTGAAATTCTGGGAGTTCCATTGGTTTATAAGCATCCAGGGTTACAACTCTGGACAGATGTCTTGTCTTGGTTCCCAGGGATATTGAGTTGAATATGAACACTTGAGTGTCCAGCCATATCCATTATGGGAAATTGATACATTACTATCGCTTTTGGATGATATAAGTTACCGGTCTGCTGCTGTCCTCCATTTCCGCCTCTTGATTAGAGGTGACACTGTGAGGAAGGATATAGGTCACACTCCTATAAATTCTGAATGAAGATCGTGAGGAAGCACATATGCGAAATGCGTTGACATCTTTTGGAATATTGAAATTGAAGAACATCATGTCTAGGAGGAATATTGTGAAATCCTGTATCCCACCTGCGTATCCCTGGGGATCGGCACTGTTAATAATGATGACCCATGCCTGTTTCCCGCTTGGCTGTCATAGTGCCCGAGCTTCTGAATCCCGATTATTAAAGTGCCTGTTTTGTAGTCCAACATGTAAGGCGTTAAGTGACTTAGCTTGGTGCTCTTGTTTTACCTGATTCAGGTGCATGCTCAGTTGCTGCAAGGGATACAGATCTTAAGGTTACACTGGATATTCTTGTTCAACCGTATCTCAGTATTATCATCGTTTTCTTTGCCCCTGTGCCCTTCTATATGTAATTAAGGACAACTCCACTGCACCCTGGGCAGGGAGCAACTCAACTAGGGAGCAACTAGCATAATCAAAGACCTGTAGTGATTAAAATATACCCAAAGGCAAAGGTTTTTTAGTTTTGGATGAGGTGGAGAGTGATTAGAACCCCTGTCAGATTTTTATTACTGTTTGTGTCCCCTTTAGAGAGAATCACTCCTGGAGATACTGGTAAACAGGACAATTAGAGAGGGTGAAAATAAATCCCAAACTTTCGGTTGTCTCCAGAACAGGAACTCTTCCAATGGGGTCACTAGTTCTGGTGATCAATAGGAATTTCATCTCTTTGGAGGATTTCCTCTCACTTCCTATTTGGCTATGGGACAGGAAGTGAAGGCAAATCTCCCCAATGGAACACAGATGGCAAAAAAAAAACCTGACTGGGGTTATAACCCTCCATTACTCTATCCAAAATGGAAAAACAATGTTTTAGTTCTACTTTAATAACTAGAAATATATATATATATATGTATATATATATAAACTTCACACAGCAGACGCTGTCAGATACCCTCCACACCACACATTATGAGTCTCATGGAGCAATGACTGCACTGGAGCTGCTTGCAAGGAAGGGGCGTGTCTATACTCTGACTTTTTAGAAGTCTGTGTTTGTGGTGGAAGCTCAGGGCAGTCATGTAATGTATACTGCTCTATGCAGTGTCAGTTTATACTGCTTTTCTTTATATACATTAAGCAGCCAGCTTGCTCTGTGCTGACAGATGACACTGAGCCCAGATCCATCTCTCCCTCAAGCTGTCATGGTCTACTGATCTGTGCAAGCTAGACTGTTGGTAATCGTGGGGGGGCCCCACCACCCTGAGATCTGAAGAACTGGACAGGCCTGGAGCCGGGAGTCAGCCTGTCTTCTGCCGCCGCATCTTACAGATTACAACTCCATACAGCGCATGCTGGAGATCCCTATCCACACCAACCTCCTTAGTGCCATCGTCTGGTTGGCTGGCACTCCATCTCTTCCTATAGGCGCATATACAGGGGTTGGGTCTGACACAGAGGAGGGAGGGGCAGATGATGGCAGGAGAAGTGATAGGTCTCAGGGACATGTGTTACCCCACCTATTACAGGGAGCGCAATGTGTATGCTCCGCCTCTCCTAGTATAAGCTGCCCCAGTGTCTGGGAGTGGATGGGCTGAGAGAGCTGCCAGGCTAGTGAAAGGCCACTGAAGAGGGGACTGCCTGCACCAGGTGAGCAGCACATCTGTTCATGCTATACTGGTGTCCTTTCTGTTAAGGGGCAAAAAAAAAAGTAAACTGTGCTGCTTGCATGCAGCAGGGCTAAATGTAAACAAAAAACACCTGCCCGACACCCGGAACTGCATGTCCCAGGCGTCGGGCGATATGATTTGCACATCCTTGATGGTATTTATACATTATAAATAGTATATACTGTATAGCCTCTGTCATACGAGAATTTACGCACAAGTTAATATCATTCTCGTTTTCATGATGGTATTTACTTTTGACTTTCAGGGAAACTCGGACGATCATTTTACTGATTTTTTAATAGAGTATATGGCTTTAGATGTTTATTTGTAAAAACACAAAATGTATATAGATAGTAAAAAAAAAAAAAAGACATTGATTTAAAAATGGATAAGCAGAACTTTTCTGAGACAATTTACAATGGTCTTGTAATAGGTTGCCGTTCCATTCTTCTGCTTTGGCGGCATGAAATTTGCCAATGGTGAGCCCTGCCCCTGGAACCAGTAAGGATGCAGAAGGACATGGTTTTGATGTCTGAGTCAGTCTTCTTTGAGGAAAATTCCCTATCCTTGGTGGTAAAGTGGAACTCTGGGCTCATCAAATCTTAAACCTGCTCCAACCCCCATTCTAAGTTTCTATACTAACTACCCTGTAGAGGAAAGATGTCTATACTTACCTAAACTAAGAGTGTTTCAGTCCAGTCATGTGATTGGCTCCTACTACCGGCTTCAGGGAAGATAAATGACAGCCGACAACAGATGCCACATAGTAAGCCTGTGGGTTATGTCACCTCCCAGGCATTGCAGCCATTGTCGGTGATCTCTCCTCTATCCTGAAGCCAGCTCTGGGGACATCACGTGACCAGAGTGCCCTGACAATAGACATCTTTCCTCTACAGGGTAGTTAGTATAGGACTTAGAATGAATGTGGGAGCAGTTTTAAGATTAGATAAGTTTAGGCTAGACTTCCACTTTAAAGAGACCCTCTCTCAAAACTACAATCACTTCAATCTGATGGACACATTTTGCTGTCATTGACATGATTCACGCTGTCCCCTGAGTTTCCCATCATCTCTGCCAATATTTTTAGGAAAAATAATGCAGGGTGTGGTCTCCCTGCAGGGAATTTTCAGGGAGTCAGGAGAATGCTTCTTTGGTCCAGTCCCTGATAGATCCCTAATTACCCCCTACATCATATACCCCAAAACAAAAAAGTGGAGTCCACTCTTTATTCTGATTCATGGAGAGCATACTTCTCCGTCAAGCTAGAGTCTAGGGGATTCAACCACTACAAGGTCAATCATAAGTGCCATTTATTGACCCAGAGACAGGAGTGTGTACCCAAACTGTTAAGAGACTATGGGGCATATAAATAAATATGTTTCTTTCTCATTTCTCCTCACAGAAGACTGAGGCTGTGGCTTCCAGGTCATGGAAAAGAACTGTACAAAGAACTGTACAAACTAAAAAACAGATTAAGGAATGTTGCGCCACAACCTTTATAGTACTTCTTTTATGTAATTGGAACAATGCCCAGATTTATTACTAAGGGCTGTATCCTCACAGAGTTGACAAAAAATAAATACATTTAGGGGTTGATTTAGGCAGGCCATAGACAAAGAAAATTTCTTACCTGCAACCACAGGTGGATTTCCCCATCAACACAGACAGTGCTGACAGGGTAATTCCTCCTGCCGAGCCATTGTGTTCTCCTGGCAGAGAAGCGGGGGAAGCCGTCCCTGCTGGGAGAACATAGAAATTATTGCCAGCAGCTATATAGCTGCCAACAATATTCATGTGTAAAATCCGGCAGGCCGGTTATACCCAGGTTAAACGATCGATCAACTTGGGTACATTCAGCCTGCCCAAACATGGTTCTGGCCGAGATTTGAACCGTCTATGGCCGGCATAACTATGACTGCAAAACTCTGAATCTGGTGCAGCTGTGCAATGTAGCCAATCAGCTTCTAACTTCAGCTTGTTCAGATAAGCTTTGACCATAAAACCTGGAAGCTGATTGGTTTCTGTGAAAAGCTGGACCAATTTTTGCACTCTTCAGTTATTGTAAATAACCTGCTAAATGTTTATCCCATTATTGGCCTATGTGTGAGACTGTGTATCATTGTTGAATAAAGTAGAATTCAGACATATTTTTTATGGGGTGTATATATTAGATCTTCATGTATAAAACTGCTGAATAGGACATTTTGACGTGTTGCCCCAAGCAGTCAGGCATTTTTATTTTCAGTCCTAGCAAATGTTAGGTAGAATATAAGTGGTTACTACTGGCAATACTTCCCCCACTTTTTCCTTCCTCTTAATTTATTGTATATACCATTAATTATCTAATTTATTTTCGTGGCATGTAAAATATATCAATATATAATGTCAAACTGTATGATAAATTACACTACTATTGACGCTGTCTGTTTTAGAATTAAACTACATGGTTGAATTTTAGAGTGTTGATTCACTAAATGCAAATAGGCTGTTCACTTTTCAAGGGGATTTTCCTTAGCTTTGTAAATGAGGTGAAACTCTGCTAACTTATGATCCAATCACTTGCCAGCAAAAATACTGTTTTTCTTTTTAAGTAATTTCCTTGCACGTGATTGGGTGTTTTTTGCAAAGTGAATTTTTCTCCAAATTCACTAAGCTAAGTTAAAATTCTCTTGCAGTGAACAGTTTATTTGCATTTAAAAAATCAAGTAGTTATGCTACTAAGTAGAGTTGAGTAATGTAATTTTAGCAAAATTGATTTCTCTGAAAAAGTACTGATTTTGCTGTCAGCTAAATTTTTCCAAAGCAGAAATTCTCAGTTTTGCTCATTGAGCATTTTACCCAATGAATGCAATGTTGAGTTGTGTATCCTTTAAGTCACTGGTGTGATTTATCATGCTCTCAGTATGTAATAAAATCTTTATTTGTTTTGCTATATTGACTGTGTACAATGCTTAATGCCCATGCTGTGTTGCACAGTCTGTTGTAGACAGTTGTACTGTCTGTTTCTTCCTTTACGAAGGCACCTGTTTTCCTTTATTACAGCTCTTCAGTGGTTCATGTGACAGGCGTTAATGAGATCCAATCTCCAACTGGCACAAGCCAAAACCTTACCCAGATATCCCGTCAGCTTAACGCTGGACAGGTCTGGACAGGAAGCCGCCCCCCTTTTCAAGGACAGGTATTATGATTATTATGTTGCCAGAATATCAACATTGTATGGTAAAAAATTGTGAGGCACTTTGGTGAATTTCTATATGTATTGTTTTCACAGCAAATCACCTCCCAGTCTGGCAAAGCTCAATCTTCTCCATTTGGCATTGGAACAAGCCACACATACACATCTGACCCAGCGACATATAGCCCATTATCCAGTCCAGCCACATCATCTCCCAGTGGAAATGCTTACTCCAGCCTTGGGGGAAGAAATGCAGCATTCAGTAAGTTCTTTTTCTTTTGCTTGTATCAGACCTATAGATTTAGTATTAGATTAACATCGCACTTTCAAAATGAGAACAAATGTCATCACACAAGATTTGTGATTTCACTGATGTCAATGTAAAAACATAATCAAGGACAGATAAACTGCATTGCAGACCACAGACCATCCACTACCAGTGATACTACAGGTTAATACTAGCCTACTCTAGTAGAGCATTATGAATTACTGCTTTGCAGATTGGTCATATGTCTTAGTTCTCATTGCTTTGTTCGTTCACACATTGCAGAAAAGACAGGAACGTGGGTCCAACTGTAACATCTGCCTGGCAAAGAAGTTTTAGGTCTGTGATTTGGCTGATGAGGGTGGGGCACTCAACTTAGGTGAGGGCTTTAGCTGAGCCTTTAGCATCCGTGTGAAAAATTATATGGAGTATGTTAATGCTACCAGTTTTGACAGGTGAACAGAAAGTGTAATCCTTCACCAGTAAGATTGCCCCCTCATCTTCATGAAGCGACCACACAGGGTGAAACCGCTTTTTTGCTATTAAGCACAGCCAACCTCTCAATCCTCCACGTCAGATTCGGTATCACAAACAGGAGGATTAAGAGGTTGGCTGTGCTTAATAGCAAAAAGCGGTTTGACCCTGTGTGGTCGCTTCATGAAGATGAGGGGGCAATCTTACTGGTGAAGGATTACACTTTTTGCTCACCTGCCAGATTTATATTGATCACTGGAGGTTTCTATATATCCAGCCATATTGAAGATTACACACATGGACGATTTGTTTATTGTTTATTAACCTCCCTGGCGGTATTCCCGAGTGTAGCTCGGGGTAAAGTTTCAGTACCACAAGCGGTAACCCCGAGCTACACTCAGGCTTACCATGCAGCGCTGTTCCGCAGTCCCTCGGTCACTTACCTTGTCCTGCGCTCCCTTGATGTCCCTCCTGCAGTGTCCCTGGCAATGTAATCAGGCTGATGCCGGCATCTGTCATCTGAGTTCCGTCCCCTGCGAGCGTCGGGATGTACGGGGGACGGAACGGCGGGAAATTTGAAAATGACAAAAAGTGACATTCACAAAAATCACTAAAATCACATAGTAAAACATTACTGTATCAAACCATTTCACATACATTTTGTCCCGAGTGCTTTGTCCTGTGCCCTGCCTGCATTTTTACTGTTCTTTCTGCCTGGAAACTGAGAAATGTCCATGGCGTCAAAAAAGCGCCCCATTTTTGGTCAAAAGCGGTTTTAGACTGGCTAGAGAACAGCGATAGTAAATCAGAACTACTTGCAGAATTGAGTGATAATGATTCGTGGGGAAATTCGTCAGACACTGAAAACGATTTTGCGACTTTGCTCAGTGATGTGCGAACTTGGCGCTATATTTCAAATTTCAGTGTTTTTGGTTTGATTATATTATTGAATTAAATTTATTATATTATTTTTTTTGATTATTTATTAAATTATAATTTATGATTTCTTGTTTCAAGTTTTATCCTACCCGGAATGTTTACTAGACTCTTGGTCAGACAGATATGAGTGAGTTATTCCTAAGAATTACAGGCCTACAATATAAAACACCAAATTTCCATGCAAAATAATAGTACCGCTTTCATCACTAAAAATCTGAAATAATCATACCGCCAGGGAGGTTAATTGGTGGCACATGTTTTTGTGGACTTTGTTATAAATTTAAGTTATGTGTTTATCATGGAGTGTCACTGGATTTTAAATTGTGGATTCACTTAATATTTTATTTAATTATTTTTATTTATTTATTTATTTATTCCTGCTGTTTATATAGCAGTATAGTCCCAAGTTTAGGGACGAGAGCACAGCAATTTATTCTTGGGTACATGTGGGCACTTGTTGAGTGGTGGTCACACATTTATGTTGAAGGATTTGGTATAGTCCTTGTAGATTGTCTTATAGTCAAGGTGCATTTATCCTCACCGTTCTATTGTTATTTTTATAGGCACAATAGTGCCATTTGTCAGTCTATTTCCACTGCACCTTTGGGCATTTAATTATGCCAAGTGTTTTATCACGTATGGTTTAATACATGTTTGTGATTTCACCCTGTTTAGGGACACAAGTGGGTTTATGTATTGTGTTTTTATGCATTTTGCACATTTTTATTTTATTTCATATGGTTTATCAAACATTACTGCATAAGATTGTATAATAATATGAAGAATTGAGTTTGGGATAAATACACACTGGAGGATTCACTAGGTGTGTAATTGAAACCTCATTTTTGATTTAATTATTTATATAAGTGTGGGAGCACAGCACCAATTTTGTTATAATTCATCAAAGTAATATATTGAATGTGAGGTAAATACCGCACATTTGTTAAAATAGTGAGATAAAGGCACGTAACGCTTTGTTCTTTAACGACTGGCCTTGGTCTTTTATTGGACCCTTTAGTGGCAGGGTTTAGGTATGTGTCAAGATCGACACTACAACCTTTTATCCCTTGCCCCCTTACCTTCCCACTACCCTTCCTTTTCTTACCTTCCCTCCCTACAATTTTTCTATTGCCCTTTCCCCGCCAAGGCCTCTTGCCGTCTCCCTTTCATCCCCTTTCCCCCCCCCTTCCCCCCCTTTTTTTTGTTTTCTTTCCCTTTCTCTTTTTCCCTTTCCTCTCCCTCCTTCTCGACCCCCTCTTTCCTCTTCTCCTTACTTGCTCCTAAGCTAACCTCCATGCTACGTTTCTATCTGTCCTCCTTCTAGTCACACATACTCTTCCTGCGCAACAACTGCCCCTTCTCACACACATTATTGATCTGCAATATATACAACACCAACACTGCTGTCAATTAATAACATAGCCTGCATGGCGAAGTGCTTGCCCCCATATGGGACCCTAACAGATTTCACCCCTTCTACCATGCACTGTAGGGTGCTAATACACTCGCCCCTTTCTATCCATTGCCCATTTTACCGAACATGTCAAAAGACTATGGTTGGCAGGGAATTGCAAAGTTACACACTGTATGTTCTGTTATACATATTTCATCTCTACTCAATGTGTTTGTTTTGAAGAACAGTTTTTATAATTACTGGCTGATGCTTACCATGTGTACTGGGATTATATATGTCGTTCAGTTCAGTGTGACTTATATATCCACCATCAGGGGCGGATTGACCATTCAAGCACTCAGGCACTGCCCAAGGGCTCGGGGTCAGTAGGGGGCCCCATGAGATGCCCCTGGTAGCTTTCATTGGCTTTTTCGTAGGCTTTTTTGGGTATGGGCAAAGACACAGGGGCGACATGATCCCCTATTGCCCGGGGGCCCCATGAGTTGTCAGTCCACCCCTGTCCACCATATATATACTGTATTCCGATGTACACCTTTTTGCCTGTCATGTTATATCTGTATTCTCAATAAAATATTATGGAAGGTAAAATAGTGAGATAAATACCACAAAAAAGCATGAGATAAATCATTAACCACTTGACCTCCAGAGGGTTTACCCCTTCCTGACCAGGCCATTTTTTGTGTTACGGCGCTGCGTTACTTTAACTGACAATTGCCCGGTCATGCAAACGCTGCACCCAAATGAAATTTATCAAAAAACAAGAGATCCCTGTGCTCAAATCCATACAGCTAGTGCATGCATTTATCCATCAGGTGCTAAAGGGGTGTAACCACATTAACTCTAGAAATTCTGAAGGACCCTCTGCACACTGGTATATACCCTTTCAAGCAAACTATGCAACAAATAGGGATATTTGGTTCACACATATTGCAATACATGTTTAAGCTGGCCAACTGCGTCAAAGTAATCCCTCTATGGCCAGTCCTACTCTGCCCTGCCTACACAAGTGCTACTGTGGACACAATGCTAGCATAGGGGAAAAGACACAATGGGGAGAGCTACAAGGTTCAGGTTCATGAAATTTATGCCCCCTTTTTTTCCCACAAATAGAGCTTTCTTTTGGTGGTATTTGATCACCTGTGAGTTTTTATTTTTTGCGCTATACACAAAAAAAGACCGACAATTTTGAGAAAAAAAACTATTTTTGACTTTTTGCAATTAAAGATGTCCAGTAAAAAAAATTTAAAAATCAAATGTCATCAGAAATTTAGGCCAAAATGTATTCTACTACATGTCTTTGCTAAAAAAAAATCCCAATACGTGTCAATTAATTGATTTACTTGAAAGTTATAGTGTTTACAAATGACGGTATATATACTGAATTTTTTTTTTCTTTACTAGTTATGGCGGCGATCAGTAACTTATAGCAGGGACTGTGGTACTTCGGCAGGCATTCTGACACTGGCGGGAACTGACTTGGTGTCACTGACATCCCCAGTGACACCAATACTGTGATCAGTGCTAGTTAAAAAGCACTGACGCTGTACTAATGGCACTGGGCAGGAAGAGGTTAACATGTGGGGCGATCAAAGGGTTAACTGTGTGCTGTTTCACAGTATGCTGTGTGAGTGCTTTCCACTGTAAGCACACTGCTTTGTATGGCTCTGTTATGTGGAGCCATACACAGCAGTGTGCAAGAGCTGACGGGAGAGATCTGTGTTGTTTATACACAGGTCTCTCCCCCGTCGGGGATACTTGGCGATCACTGGGTGCTAGCGAGTAATCACTGGCCTGGACCCGGTGATTGACAGCTGAGGCCACAGATGGCGGCAAGGGTATGGCTTGTGCCCCCTACCCGAAACTGCAAAATCACATATATACACGTGATTTTGTGCACCCGTGCCGTCCTGTAGCAGTATTTCTGCTGTAGGGCGGCAAGGAAAGTGGTTAAAGTCAATTCATTAAAAACACACACATTTGTTATTTATCACCAGTTGTTTGCTGGCAGTATTTTAGAGATGTACAAAATAACAATTCGAGGAACTCTGCACTGGCCAGAAAGTGAAAAGTATACAATGTATCAATGTAAAAATGTCCTCTAAACTCAGGAAAGAAAATAAATTGTAATATTTCATCAGAGGGAGGTCATTTTGTGAATGAAAGCAGACTACAAAGATTTCAGTTTCACAGTATAGCTGTGTGCATTCTGGTGCAATGTTAGCCTGCAAAAAAAAAAGGTGGAAAAAGTGCAAAATATCGCAAAACATAAATATTTAATGGCTTCGGGGAATAACCACGTTTTTAGTGAAATAACTACTTTTGAAGTAAATACTGCATGAGTAATTTTAACTCACAAATGAATGCGGTATTTATCTCTTAGTGAATTGATCCCCCTTTATTACAAATTCGTTTAGATTGTGTATAGACATCCATGCATTTATAAGTTGTTTCTGATCTATAGCACACTTATATCCCTAATGTTTCTGATTCTGTCATCTTGTTTAACCAAAGAATCCCATGTTTATGTAATTGAAACCCACGAGTTGTATATCTTTAGTGCTATGTATTAGCTTTCAATATGCTGTAAAATAAAGTAAATTCTGTTCTTATCTTGTGCAGTAAAATGTAATTAAACAGTACAACTTTCCTCTTTGTGTAGCTGAAACAGGCCAGAGCAGCAGCCAGTTCCAAGGACGTGCATCAGAAGTGTGGTCTCAGTGGCAGAGCCAGCATCACAATCAGCAGAGCAATGATCAACATTCCCATCAACAACCAGGCCAAGCTGAGGTGTTCCAGGTGCTGTACATGTACATCTTTACAATGATCAGTGTCTGTAGGAAATATACCAAACCATCAGTAAATAAACAGCATTCAATGAGCAATAAAGCGAGAGATTGCATAAAATTGTTCTCTTATGTTTTGCTGTAAAAGCATATCGTAAATACTGCAGGTACATTTTAAATGCTACTCGATCCTACCTGCATAGATCGTTTCAGTAGACCAAACATCTACAAAACATTGTTCAACTCTTTGTCAGGCCAAACATTACACGGTTCATGATCACATACAATCAAAACAAGGAATTTGTCTTAATGGAATGCACATTTAGTAACAACCCAAGTAGGGAGATGTGGAAGATTTTACGCTGTAAAACATTATAAAGCAGCTGTAGGTATCATAAGACACCTTAAACAGAAGATAAACAATGAAGTCTCAAGTACAGTCAGTGTAAAAATAGAGACTGTCTATTCACATATTTAAAAGGTAATATAGCAGAAGCCAGAAAACAGATGAATTTCCCCTAACCACTACCTTATGCTAGCAGTCAGGTTTGTTTTTGGTTTCAGTTTGTCTGGTTAAACAGCAAAATTAACAATAATCTGAATATATACAAATATATCTGAATTTATATCTCAAAAAAATTAAAGAAACACTTTTTAATCAGAGTATAGCATCAAGTCAATTAAACTCCTGGGATATTGATCTGGTCAGTTAGGTAGCAAAGGGGTTGTTAATCAGTTTCAGCTGCTTTGGTGTTAATGAAATTAACAACAGGTGCACTAGATGGGCAACAATGAGATGACCCTCAAAACAGAAATGGTTTTACAGGTGGAGGCCACTGACATATTTTTCCCTACTCATCTTTTCTGACTGTTTTTCACTAGTTTTGCATTTGGCTAGGGTGATTGTCACTACTGGTAGCATGAAGGCGATATCTAGACCCTACAGAGGTTGCACAGGCAGTTCAACTCCTCCAGGACGGCACATCAATACGAGCCATTGCCAGAAGGTTTGCTGTGTCTCCCAGCACAATCTCAAGAGCATGCAGGAGATTCCAGGGGACAGGCAGTTACTCTAGGAGAGCTGGACAGGGCCCTAGAAGGTACTTAACCCATCAGCAGGACCGGTATCCACTCCTTTGTGCAAGGAGGAACAGGATGAGCACTGCCAGAGACCTACAAAATGACCTCCAGCAGGCCACTGGTGTGAATGTTTCTGACCAAACAGTCAGAAACTGACTTCATTAGGGTGCCTGAGGGCCCAACATCCTCTAGTGGGCCCTGTGTTCACTGCACCATAGAGCTTTATTGGCATTTGCCATTGAACACCAGAATTGGCAGGTCCACCACTGGCACTCTGTGCTTTTCACAGATGAGAGCTGCTTCACTCTGCACACATGTGACAGACATGAAAGGGTCTGGAGAAGCCTATTACATCTCTCAGCATGACCGTTTTGGTGGTGGGTCAGTGATCGTCTGGGAAGGCATATCCATGGAGGGACGAACAAACCTCTACAGGCTAGACAATGGTACCCTGACTGCCATTAGGTATTGGGAATCAAATCCTTGGACCCATTGTTAGACCCTACACTGGTGCAGTGGGTCCTGGGTTCCTCCTGGTGCACAACATAGCCCAGTCTCATGTGGCGAGAGTATGCAGGCAATTCCTGGAGGATGAAGGCATTGATACCATTAAATGGCCTCCACGCTCGCCTGACCTAAATCCAATAGAACAACTCTGGGATATCATGTTTTGGTCCGTCCGACGCTGCGTTGCACCTCAGACTGCCCAGGAGCTCAGTGATGCCCTGGTCCAGATCTGGGAGTAAATACCCCAGGACACCATCCGTCGTCTCATAAGGAGCATGCCCATTGCCAGGCATCTATACAAGCACATGGGGGCCATACAAACTACCATTTTGAGTTGCTGCAATGAAATGTCAGCAAAATGGACTAGCCTGCTGCATAATTTTTTCACTTTGATTTTTGGGTGTCTTTGAATTCAGTCCTCTGTAGGTTGATAATTTTCATTTCCATCAAATGATAGGGCTTCCTTACGTTCCTAAGACAGTACCCAGTCCATATCAATATAGATATCCAGTATGCTATTTTTCCCTATGGAGACCTGATGTGTTTTCATTTAATTTTTTTGAGCAGTGTACATATAGCATATATACAAACCAGTTTTCCTTTTCATACATTGAGGACCCCAGGCTAGACTCATGTCTCAGTGTTTTGCTAGGGCCCTAGTACATCTTTTCTTCAGCTCTACTGGAAAAAAAGTCTAACTAATTTTTGCTAGCCTTTTTTCTTAATTTTTCTCATCAATCAATATTCTTCGATTCTTCTCAAAATCACTGCTACTAGACCTGGTCACCATAGTTACAGCTATCCAGAGTGGCCTATTCCTCAGCTTGGCTTTGGAGTGTCAAAACCGGATTCCGCTGGACTGGACGTGTGGGGCTTGCCTGGAAGTGACCTTCAGACCTTGAGTTCCACATAAAGTGTTTTCCATACTCTGTTCTGACACAATGTTAGCTACAGAGTGCTTTCCAGGTCCAGAGCCATTGGCATTGCCTCAGCCCTTCACCTGTCTCTGAAGACTCTCTTTGTGAGTAGGCAGACCAGGCTGAGCACTTGGAGCTACTTCATTATGTGGACGACCGAAGGGGTTAACACTGATGTCATCAGCATTCAATTTACCACAGAAGAGGTTAATGTTCAGGGAGCAAGTGCTGATATCATCCACTGGATAGGCCAAGTTCCCTTCCCTTTCTTCTTCTTTTCCTGAAGTTGATACACTCATGCCTTCTAAACCTGGCTATCCAGCCACCCACTGGATTGGGAGTAAAAAGTCTGCTGAACCCTCAGGGAAGCCTTCATTAGCATGGGTGCTCCCATCGCTTTTCTAAGTGGGGAGAGGTTTGGTACTCTTTAGTATCTCACATTATTCCTTCCTGATGCCACCACCACACAGACTATCAGACATAACTCTGCCCCTTGGGGTTGGCTGGACCTAAATGTATCTGTTCTGCCTCTTGTACCAGTTTTATCTTAGAAGCTGTATCGTAACATATCCCAGATTCTTTCTCTCAGAATAGACGTTTGCCTCTTTTTGGGATGTGTATGTCCAGTAGTTGTACATGGTATCCATTTACCATCCCTGTCCCTTCCATGAGGGTCTCATACAGATCTATCACCATCTTTCTGGGGCTCTAACTCCCCAGTCTTTCCCTTGACACTCACGTTTGCTCCAGGGTGTTGGTCTGTCCCAGTGCCTTCTCATTGCATCCACAATGTGGGTTACTCCTGTGGAGATATGAACATGGACTCTAAGGGACATTGTCTTCCTGATGGATGGTCCAAATATCCCTGAAATGTGTCTGGATTTTGTTTTGGACTTGGTTTGGACACAATCTTGTGCCCTAATCTTGTCCCTTCTTCTTTTTTTAGTACAATATTTGGAAGGTCAGTTCTCAACTGCTTAATTTCTGGCAGCTCTAGACCTGTGAATTTTTGGGTTTCTAGGAAAGGCAGGACACTCAGCAAGTTTTTTTTGTCTCAGGGTTATGAGAATGTGCTGAGCTTGATCATCAGCTCTCCTGGTTGCAGTCCTTCTTATTGTAAGTAAGGAAGACTATCTTCCATTTCCTGCCTACCCTTTTATGGGGACTTCTTTTGCTCTTTCACCTGTTGCTTATATTGACTTTGTAGGACTGAATCTTGGTTTCATAGGTGGGTTCAGGAACCACCATTACACTCCTTGGCAGTTCACCCTAGTCATTCTCAGTATACTTCTCAGATAGTATTCTCTCTCTCTCTCTCTCTCTCTCTCTTTCTCTAGCAAACCTCTCAGTTGGACTGCTTTTGGACCTCGCAAAAGTTAATGATTTCCTGTGTGTCTCAGTGGATAAGAAAGAAAATATGATTCTTGTACTCATCATAAAATCCTATTTTTGGAGTCACAGGCCCTCTGTATCTATGAATATGTCTTTGGTGCTTTTTGCTACAAAACTGAGGCATGCAGTTTGTGGGAGGGATTATCCTTGGCTGGCCTACATTTTTTTTTTTTGTTTGTCTAATTCTCTTGTAGGCAGCAGTATAGCCTGGCAACTAATTAATTCCTGTCTCCCTCAATGGACTCCAAGGAAAGGATTACCTGTACAAAAATCCTATTTTATTCTGAGTATTCTAGCTACAGTTGTGTTCAAAATAATAGCAGTGTGTTGAAAAAAGTGAATAAAGCTCAAAATCCTTCTAATAGCTTTATTTCTATACACACAAATGCATTGGGAACACTACACATTCTATTCCAAATCAAAACATGAAGAAAAATATATCAAATTTGTGTTGTTCCTCTAAAAAAAGTGAAGAAAAGTGAATATTAGACTGTTCAAAAAAATAGCAGTGTTTGTATTCTTCTTTACATACTCAAACATTCACTATATAAACTGAAAAATGTTTGAAGATTTTGCTTTCCTTTGAATCACTTAATGAATATTTAGTTGTATAAGCACTGTTTCTGAGAACTGCTGTACATCTGTGTTGCATGGAGTCACCCAACCTCTGGCACCTTTGAACAGGTATTCCAGCCCAGGATGATTGGACTACATTCCACAGTTCTTCTCTATTTCTTGGTTTTGCCTCAGAAACGGCATTTTTGATGTCACCCCCACAAGTTTTCTATTGGATTAAGATCCGGGGATTGGGCTGGTCACTCCATAACGTCAATCTTGTTGGTCTGGAACCAAGATGTTGCACATTTACTGGTGTGTTTGGGGTTGTTGTCTTGTTGGAACACCCATTTCAAGGGAATTTCCTATTCAGGATAAGGCAGCATGACCTCTTCAAGTATTCTGATGTATTCAAACTGATCCATGATCCATGGTATGTGATAAATAGGCCCAACACCGTAGTATGAGAAACATCCCCATATCATGATGCTTGCACCACCATGCTTCACTGTCTTCACAGTGTACTGTGGCTTGAATTCAGTGTTTGGGGGTCGTCTGACAAACTGTCTCCGGCCACTAGACCCAAAAAGAACAATCTTACTTTCATCAGTTCACAAAATATTGCGCCATTTCTCTTTAGGCCAGTCAATGTGCTCTTTGGCAAATTGTAACCTCTTCAGCACGTCTTTTTTTTCAACAGTGAGACTTTGCGGGGGCTTCTTGCAGATAGCTTGGCTTCACATAGGCGTCTTCTAATTGTAACAGTACTCACAGGTAACTTTAGACCTTCTTTGATCTTCCTGGAGCTGATTGTTGGCTGAGTCCTTGCCAGTTTGGCTATTCTTCTATCCATTCGAATGGTAGTTTTTTTGCTTTCTTCCACGTCTTTCAGGTTTTTGGTTGCCATTTTACAGCATTTGCGATCACCTTAGCTGAGCAACCTATCATTTTCTGCACTTCTTTATATGTTTTTTCCCCTCTCCAATCAACGTTTTAATCAAGGTACGCTGTTCTTCTGAACAATGTCTGGAACGACCCATTTTCCTCAGAATTTCAGAGAGAAATGCACTGTAACCAGCATGTACAACATTTTCTGCCTTCCTTCCTTAAATAAGGGCAATAATTGCCACCTGTTTTTCAAAGAATGAATGACCTCACTAATAGAACTCCACACTGCTATTATTTTGAACATGTCCCTTTCAATTAGTGATTCAATTACACAGAATCAGCAGCATGCATGTCATGACTGGTGGGTCTGTTGGATTTCTATTACTCTACTACACCTGCTAGTAAATTATTTGCCATGTAGAAATATAATTTCTACCAAAAACAGTGATTGATCAGGTTAGTGATGTCTGTATATACATTTCTGTATCTGTTTTGGAGCAGTCATGTTCTAGGCAGATCCTATTTATGATCATGTAAACAGCCTTTTCACTGGCATGGGTTTTATTATCTGTTCTCTTAGAATTATGCCATTGGCAGTGGAGTTTTGTCTCAATACTTATCATAAGCAGTTTAGTGTAATAGCTCTTGTTATGGAATTTTGTACGCACATGAGGATAAGAAGTTTAAAAGCTGTCTTTTCTCAGAAAAAGTTTGGGTGACCTACACTAACACTATACAGGCTCCAGTATAAGTTTACAGTTCTGTGAAAGACACTCAATTTAATGTGTAGACGTAAGTGGTTTTATAGCCAAAACATTCTGTTTAGTTTTGAATAGAGCAGGGAATAATTAGAACCCATGTCGGTTTGTTATTGCTGTCTGTGTACCTGTTGGGCAGATCGACTCTCTTTATGTGATCTGTTGCCTATTGTTACTGGCACAGAAAGTAAAGGGAAAATCCAAAATGTTACAGTCGTTACAGGAACAGTCTGTTAAAGATAGCATTAAAATGTCTTGTTATATCTGTTTGATAAGGACAAAAATTCCCACTGATCCCAAAAATCCACTAAGCTCGTACCTTTCTATGCTGCCTTCCTCTAATGACTGTTATCAGTTAGCATTGTTCCCAGATATATTTGTGGAATTCAGAAAACCTGTCCCTCATGCTTTAAGGAAGGGGAGGTTTTCTGTAGTTCTAACTCACTTCCTGTCCTAGTGGGACAACACTGCTTTTCCATAGATACAGTAGGGTGAGGTGAGTGTTGTCACCTTAGGACAGGCAGTGTGTTATTGGCAGGATCACCACGTGAAAAAAGAGCATAAATAATCCAAATACAGCCACCACATCTAATGTCTGGTAAGTTGCATTGTATAAAACTGCTATTCTTGGGTTTAACTACACTTTTACATACTCTTATCTGAACTTATAAACAATATAAATGGAAGAGTACTTTGACAGGTCATTTATGAAATCCATTTTCCCACAATTTGCCTTCAGGTATTTTTTTCCTTTGTGCCATTTTATACTATACAATGAGGTGAAATTAAACATTTTACAATTATCACCAGATCAGGAAGTGAGGGGACAGTCTTGCTATAGGGACACCTGTTTCGGTGATAGGGCATTTTCCTTCTTGTTGGAGAGATTTCCTCTCACTTCCTGTCCTGTCTACGGGACCAGAAGTAAAGGGAAACCTCCAAAATGGGAGACAAAAATAATTAAAGTTTTAACCCTACCCTAAAACTGAACAAGGTTTTCATCTTTCATATGCTATCTAAAGTAAAACCAAACAGAAATGTTTTTGCTACATATTTATTTAAACCAAAATGCCACTTTCACTAACAACGTTTTATAACATATATGACTGAAAATAAACATTTTGTAGCTTATTATTAATAGAAATGGTCTTTTTATTTCAATCAGGATCTAGCTATGAGTTTCATAAACTGACAAAGATTTTTCTTATTTTACTTTCTTGCAAGAATGGTGATAATACATTGTATCCGACTTATCAATGCATTTGTATGATAGTTCTTTACTCAGTGTCTGCACAAAGCTGGAGGTCACATTTCAGGCATCTCCAGTACTGAACTTGATTTCCTAGAGTGATATATCTTTGGTGATATATTTGCCAAAAGTAATAAAGAGATGCCAGGGATGAAGATTGTCTCCTAATATAAGGGACCTAATCATGTGGTTATAGCAGGCAATCCCTAACTTAGCACTCAGAACATTATTAAAATATCCAGTCTGTATATCTAGAGAAAACAAGCAGGTAATACCCTGTTTTGTGCTTTAAAGGAGAAGTATATCCAGAGCTATTTTGGCTATGGTTCTCCTGTAGGCTAAAGCCTGATGTTGGCTGACATCACAGAGCCGGTCCAGGCTCTGAAATGATCCAGACCTTATTGTTGGGATCAACCTAGAAGCCTGGACTGGCACCTGACTCAGCCAAGAGCCTGTGCCCCTCCCCAGCCTACTGCTCCAGTGAGCACTGGAGGGGCAGAGAGCCGAGGACTGACAGTCATGGCTCTCTGCTCAGAGCGAAGGCGAGAACTGAGTGATCAGTCATGTTTGATTGCTCAGTTCTCACTGCAGAGCCGGCGGGAGACAAATGCAGCATCCACCTAGGTGAGTATAATAGTCCATACTTCTCTTTTAATTCTTGCAATGCATACAGCTGACTAGTAGAAGGATTTTCCTCCCAACTAAAATGTGTTACTTTAATAGACTGAAAGAAATTTCAGTTTTGTAACTAGCTATCACGACAATAGTGAAAAATTTTAATTCATGTGTAAATCTTGTGTTTCCCCAGGACATGCTTCCTATGTCTGGAGACCCCACACAAGGAACTGGTAATTATAACATTGAGGACTTTGCAGACCTTGGGATGTTTCCTCCTTTTTCTGAGTAAAGTTGGTGAAGAGTGCGGCCCTGTGTGTTACTCATCTACGTGTCCTATCTGTACAGAAAGACAGAAACCTCCAGACTGCCGCCTGCACGCCACAAACATCTGTACCATCTGTCTGTCAGTCCTTCATGTATTCTCTTCTCTGACTAGCTGGGAAATGATTGCGAGCCCAGCATATCCTTCACTGCCTCAGACTCCAAGTCTCCCATATCTTTATTTTAGACTGCTTTCTTGACAGCAGAACGTAAACAAGATTTGGAAAGGAATGATGATGGATTGTTAGAGAAAATGCTTAAATATGTTATAGTTGGAAAACAATCTTCATATAACGAAGGCCTCTCATTATATTTGACTTCTCAATGTGCAGGGATCATTTGGCAATTTCCTCTCTATTACACAACAGTGGAAAACAATTCAAAATGATTTGTGTTTGTCTCTCACCTGCCATGGCATAATCTGCATCTTTATATTGTGTCTTCTATTGTCCTTGAAAACGCTAAATCTGCAGTGGACTGGGCAGCGTCTTTGTTTGACCAGTCTCTTTTACTGTCAGGCTGTCATGTTAATGTGGACCGTATACTTCGTGTATTTTGTATTACTACTGAATGTCATATACTAATATTAGATGCATAGTCTTACTATGCTGGATTTTGCTAATGTCATTCATTAAAAGTGACACCAGCAGTCTGTGTTGTGTGTACTATATTCAGATGCTAAAACAGATCAGACTGTTCTTAGTTAGGTTTGTTTTCACCACAGAACTGTCCTGTACGTTCTGCAGCTCACTGATCTATTTCCCTGTCTGAAACTCTGTTCTGTAATCCTAAAAGTGGTGGCTTCATTTCTAATACGGCTTACATTTAACCACTTCAAGTCCGGACACTTTCCCCCCCCCCTTCCTGTCCAGGCCAATTTTCAGCTTTCAGTGCTACCACACTTTGAATGACAATTGCGCGGTCATGCAACGCTGTACCCATATGAATTTTTTTGCATTTGTTTGAGACAGATAAAACTTTATTTAGGTGGTATTTATTCACCACTGGGATTTTGTATTTATTTTTTTTTTGCTATATAAATGAAAAAGTCCAAAAATTTAGAAAAAAGTGTTTTTCTTATAACATTTTGCAAATAAATAATCTTTCTTCATAAATCTTGGCCAAAATGTATTCAGTTATCACACAGCGAGCACTGGATCGCGGTGACGCGTGCTCCCAGGCAGCGCGCACAGACTGTGAATGTGGGCGCCGTTCATAAATGGCAACCCACTCCTGCACTGCTCCTGTCCCCCGTTTATGTACATGGGCTGGACAGGAAGTGGTTAAAGGAAGTCTATAATAACAGGATAACCTTTCATGTTCCAACATTATCATTGTATTAACAATACAAACAATAATTATTTTTGACAAACCACTATAATCTCCTATCGTGAATTGTGAAGAAATGTGTGGGGATCTTCACAAAGTAAGTTTAGAAATACCAAGATTGTTTAGATTTTTTTAGGAGTAGGCTATTAACCTCTTGCCACCTGGCCAATGGCCATTTGGCGGCTGACAAAATCCCTTAGCGTTCCAGGTGGACGCCATATGGCGCAGTTTGCGTGCATGCAGAGCCGCGCAGCGGCGCGATCTGTCACTCGTGTCATCCATTGTATACTAGTGTGTCTAGTTGTGAATGGTCACAGCGATCACATGCACAAGCTGGGCCAATCACGTCATTCAGGTAAATGCTTGCTTATAGCAAAGTAATTATTTGCTATAAGCCAATTGTGTAAAAAAAAAAAAAATACTGATCACTTCCCCAAAGTAGTACAATGTTACTATGGTGCCATTGTACTACTTTGGTCATAGTGAAATATAAAAAAAAAATCTTAAAAAAAAAAAAAAAAGTTATAAAAAATTAAAAAATAATTTAAAAAAATAAAATAAAAAAAATTATATATTTTTTTTCATACTGTCACCAGTCAGTGTCCCTGATCACCGCCATGCCAGTTATATGATGACGCTGTACGACTGGTGACAGTATTTAAAAAAAAAAATAGTGAAAATAATTTTTTTCATTTTTTCATTTTCCGAAAAATTATGACAAAAAAACACAACTTCAAAAAACTCGCCATGCCTCTTATGTAGTACGTCGGACTGTCTACTTTGCAAAAAGGGGTCATTTGGGGGATATCTGTACTGTTCTGACATTCTTGGACCTCAAGAAATTAGATTGGCTGTCAGTACTTCAGGATTGATCAATATTTAGATATACCCCATAGTTTGTGAACTCTATAACTTTCCTACAAACTAAATAATACATCCTAATTTGGGTTATTTTCACCAAAGACATGTATTAGAATACATCTCGGTCTAAATTTATGAAGAACAATTATTTATTTGAAAACTTTTATAACAGAAACAAAGAAAAACGTGTTTTTTTTTTTCAAAATTTTTGGTCTTCTTTTGTTAATTTAGCAAATAATAAAAACCCCAGTGGTGATTAAATACCACCAAAAGAAAGCTCTAGTAGTGTGAAAAAATGATAACATTTTAGTTTGGGTACAATGTTGTATGACCGCGCAATTGTCATTCAAAGTGTGAGAGCGCTGAAACCTGAAAAATGGCCTGGGCAGGAAGGGGGTAAAAGTGCCCGGTATGGAAGAGGTTAATAACTGAAATTATAATGTACCTGGTGGAGAATGAGTAGCTGCAGAGGCTCCTCTTGCACCTCCTGCCCAACACTCCTGAAGGTGGTGACAGAGAGTGTGGGGGCAGTAATGTATTTAGGTTTTGTGCTGCCCTAGGCTACACAGAAATCGGATGCCCCCCCCCCCACCTGGCGGAGAGTTCTTGACACCGACCAACACCAGACCCCCCCCGACCCCGACCTGACAGTGACCAACAACACCCCTGCCCCCACCTCCACCCGAGAGAGACTTCCACTAACACCCCACAGCTCTGGACATCCCCGGGAATGACAGTCGGGCTCTGCATACACCATCAAGCAGCTCCTCTCAGATTCCACCTGGTCCGTATGCCGCATATGTCCCTTCTTCTGGGGGACAGTGCTTCCCCCCTAAAAAATGCCGCCCTAGGCAAATGCCTTGTGGTACATACGCCCCTTTGTGGGGGCACAGAGTGGCATGAGTGCCAGAGTTTGTAGGCTGGACCAGATCTGTGTTGCAGCCAGATGAGTAGAACTGGAAGCAGAAGATACAGCATGGTACTTTATCAGGAGTCGAAGACAGAGTCAAGGAAGTAAACCAAGATCAGTAACATCTGGGCAGCGTGGTATCAAAATCAGGAGGCAAAGACAGAGTCCAGGAAGCAAGCCATCAGTAACAGTTGAGCAGACAGGATACAAGACAGAAGACAGTAGCAGATTCCAGAAAGCAAGCCGGGTCATACACAGTGAGGCAGAATCAGCAGGCCAGGTTAGGAAATAAAAATAAATGTGCCCAAAGGCATACATACCAAGCGCTCACAACAGCTACTATAGGTCCATGAATTGTCCAAATGAAAGGAATAGGTGAAGTGGCATCCAGTAGGTGGTGGGAAGATCCACAGCTCATGCAAGAATGCAGCAAGGCTCACACTGTCACACTTGCAGACTACAGTGAAAGGTGAGTCCAGGAGATGCCACATGAAACAGAATAAATCCACAGCTCTTTGTGGTCATCAGATTGTGGGGATTCAAGGTACTTGCAGAGGAAACACAGTGATCAAGGCGCTGGATTATGAAAATGTACCACGGTTTCTGACAAATATATATCCAAACTTACATGCAGGCAAAAGCAGAGCAGCTGCAAGGTAGGAGGGTGTGAAAACTCCAATCTGACACATCTCAGACTCTCAGATCAAAGAGCTAGGTGATGGAGAACTGGACCCACCAAAAAGACATGCTGCCAGACTCCATGAGTGGCATGTCTTTTTGGCGGGTCAAGCTCTCCATCACTTGGCTCTTTGATCTGATCATCTGAGTTGAGTTGGATTGAAGTGTTCACCCCTCTACCTTGAAGCTGTTCTTGTTTGCCTGCATGTAAGTTTGGATATATATTTGTCAATAAATGTGGTATATGTTTATAATCCAGCACCTTAGTCACTCTGTTTCCTGGGTCAGGTCTCAGGTTAACAAGGAAGGACAAGCTGAAGACCACTCAGCAACTTCCTTCTGCAGTGCTTCAGTTTATATAGGCCAGTATCCATCGTGCATGCTAAGTCTGCTCACTAATGCACAACTGACAGACCCTTATGCAGAGAGTTGCGGGCAGCATAATGCACACCTGGAAATCGAGACTGATCGGACCAAGCAATTTTTACAATCTTTTATTGTCCAATTTTGGCATCTGTTTCCTGTTCTTGGTTGACAGGAGTGGCACCCAGTGTGGTCTTCTGCTGCTGTAGCCCATCTGCTTCAAGGTTCGATGTGTTGTGCTTTCAGAGACGATAGGCTGCATACCTTGGTTGTAACAAGTAGTTATTTGAGTTACTGTTCCCTTTCTATCATCTCGAACCAGTGGCCCATTCTCCTTTGACAGCAAAAAGGCAACTGCCACTCACTGGATATTTTCTTTGTTTCGGACCATTCTCTGTAAACCCTAGAAATGGTTGTGAGTGAAAATCCCAGCAGATCAGCAGTTTTTGAAATACTCAGACCAGCCCTTCTGGCACCAACAACCATGCCATGTTCAAAGTCACTGAACTCCCCTTTCTTCCCCATTCTCAGTTTGCACTTCAGCAAGTCATCTTCACCACGTCTAGATGCCTAAATGCATTGAGTTGCTGCCATGTGATTAGCAGTTTGTGTTACCAAACAATTGAACAATTGTATCTAATAAAGTGGCCGGTGAATGTACAATCCTCAGTGTTCAGCACACAATGCAGATCAATAAGCAGAGGAATTGGGAGCTATTCACATAATTGTGTTATTTTTCACCATCTGGACTCAGGATGATAGCCTAGTTGCGATGTGCCTTACACTGATGCCCTTTCACCTGACATATCTGCCACAAAAGCACGCAC